AAGTATTCCTTAACAGTGGAAAGGTAAGGGGATAAAACCTTTCCCACATATACAAACTAGATGTACTCACCTCTAGTAAGGCATGCCTGCTGTTTAGGGGATAGGGTAGATGGGTCCTAACAGGACCAGTGGAAAGAATGAATGCAGGGAGATGGCTAAATGGGGAAGAGAAGAGAAAAAGGAAGAAAACAATTGGGTTAAGGAGGGGAGAAGAGGTGTTAAAAGATGAAGCGGAAGACTCCACCATGGGAGCATGCTTCCTCTTTAACTGCATAAATTAGGCTAATCCAGGATTCTCTATCTTGGACATATAGTCCAGCCAGGGAAGCCATGTTGTATGGAATTTTTTAGTTCTGTTATAAGAGAGAAGTCTTTATGGCATCCTATTGCCTGAGCTCTTCAACCTTGGCCATCCCTCGATGACGTGTCAAGGCACCACTTTGACACAAGAAAACAGGGATCACTGATTTAACTGCATTGAGCAGGTGCTTAGTCGTAGATTTTTGTTTCTGGAAATAAGCATCAAAGAGTGGTGGAACAGCATTTCACCTGGTTGTAATGGCACCACATCCCCCACAATTTGTTTCATGGTTGAATGTATCTATTCCCAGTGGGGTACAATGTAAAGGCACTCCCACCAAATATGACGCATATCCTACATTAGATTGGGACATCACTGTTGGAATTTGGGGATTGCTGGGGTAGCAACTTGTAATTAGTTTCTTGTACAGTATGGATGAACTAATAGAAACGTTATAAGTTAATTGGAAAATTTTGCACCAGATCATTCTTCCACCTTAATAGAAGACTATATAAGACAGAAATGTTTCTGGGGAGTCTCTCCTGTTTATGACAATTGTAACGGAGCTTCCTGTACCCCGGTTGGGTACCTCCGCCGACGGATGCTCCTAGTGCTCACGAGGCCTCCAAGCACTCCACCAGACACCATCAGCACCACAGTCCCCACATCCAGCGTTACAGCTTGGCTTGGACTCGCCATCCTCCACCCACCCTGGACCCAAGACCAGGATCCAGCTTCCAGTGGATGAACCTCTCCTCCAAGAGAAAGTAGCAGGAACAGCTCTTAAAAAAGCTTAGTGATTATACTTCCTGGGGGGGTATAGTGATATAGCAATCCCCAGGGTAGATGCAGCCTTTCCCCTCACATATGAGATGAGACTCTATGTTTACGGTAAAACAGGAGCTCAGCTTTAATGGGGCACACTGGCCTTTTATGCAAGTTTCCCAACAAGGCTGACACCCAGGGGGACCTTGTTGGGCACAGGACACAAACAAAGCAAGCCAATCAAAACAATGTGATAAGGAACGACACTCCCACATACAGTACCCTCCCCTCTGCCTGTGATACAGTTAAGGCAGATAATGTATTAACGTTATTATCCCCAAGCATAAAAAAAGACATATTTTACAAAGTCTACCCCAAAATACAACATATTCCCATAAAAGTCATATCCCCAGATAGCCCTCATCTGGGTGAACAACATATCCAAAACATCACCCAGATCAGAGCAGGGGTTCAGGAAATTCCTGGAAGTCTCTTTTTGACTGACCGCACGCATGGTTTCATGCCCAAAACAGTTCCAGAGAATTAGGCTGTGCTGTCCGGTCTATTTCAAACCATCGAAGTACTGTTCAAATTACCAAACGAAATAGTGAATGGACATAGTCAGTGTGCGTCCCTTTTTCGTAGGCTTCGACTCACTGAACGGCGTTCGACTCCTGTTCGAATTGTCGAAGTTTCATGGAAGGTAACTTTTCAGCAGTGTTCGTGCCATTGCGTGTCTGATTCGAATTCCATGAACAAAACATAGCTGAACACTTCGACCAAATAAGATGGCCGCTGCCACATGTTCGAATTCAACTGTAGTCGAAGTGTCACTTTGAAAGTTCGAATCTGTTCCAATATAAGTCCAATAGGCAGAAACAGTATCTTTAACCCCCAGTTCACCACAGGGCCATAGTCACAGGGCAGGAGGCTGGCAAACAGGCACCTCCAAAAAACAGTGGTGAGGTCACTTTCGCCACAGCCATATTTTTCAAAGTTGGAAAATTGTCAGGGGAAATTGATATGGGGTCGGGGAGGAAAAAAGAGTGTACAATTGTACAAGTGTGCAATTTTTAAGTAACAATATCTGTTCCTCTCATCAAGACTTCCTCACTTTTCAGGTCTGGGGGAGTAGGCGTGCATTAGCACTTAGAGGACCAGGAAACCTTTGCACAAGGAAGAGAGATTTGGTGCATGTGTTCCCAGGGCAAAGTAGGGGTAATGCATCAGAGGGAGTGTGGGAATGAAGCAAAGTTGTGTTTTAAGCTTTGAGGGTAGGGTAGATGTAGGGGTGTTGGAGGAGGGATTTTGAAAATAATTAAATTTAGTCCAAACATTCAGAAGGGGTATGCGTGTGCCCATATTCTCATGCCCTCTCTACACTGTTTGGAGAGGGAATTTTCTATCAATACCTTTATCTCAACCGATGGGATTTTGCCATTTTCCATTTGAAATTTATTTTCATTAAATTTAAGAGTAGCTGGAGTGTGTAATTCCCTGATTTTGGCCTTTATATTAGGGAGGGTAATTGCTTGTTTGATAATAGAAGGTTATCGTTGTAGGCTGCAACCCTGTCATGCGGTATCTCTTCCGGGTTCGGCACTACGCTATGCGGAGCCAGCCACCCCCCCCTCTGAC